GAGGCCTACGTAAATATTGGTCAAATTTCTTCACGGCCCAAGTGATAGGAATACATTCTACTCCATCCATAAAATAGCATAGCGGGCTTTATTATGATTGGTTGATTTTGAAGATCATCTCATCATATTAAAGTCTTATTAAAGTAACGATTTGCTGTCACAAGAATGGATCGGGTGCCACGAATACGAATCGGGTGAAGGTAAGACAAAAAAAATTCGAAAGTTCAAGCTTTACTTTATATACCGTCAAAGTAATTCGGTAAACCGCGAGGTAATTCGGAAGTTAGATGAGAGGTATGTCTAGACGTTTCAATTTAACCAATATAACTTACAGTATATTAAACTTGTGAAATGACAGTAAATTTAAAAGGTTTTACATCGCTAATCTATTTTATTTATAACTTATTTATTATTCTAAAGACAGACACGTACTGCCAGTAAAATAGCTTAGTGACATGAAGCAATGAAAATATAAGCTTGCGAACTTGTAAGAGATTAAAACATAGTATTATATCTAAGAATATTAAAAGCGTAATGTTACGTTTAAGAATATTAAAGCTAGTGTTACGTTTAAGATTATTCATTTAGGATTAAGGTTAAATTCGCTTTGTATTAATTAACTGTTATTAGATACAATTAAAATTTTTTATAACTTTGTATTGTCTCTTATAATAAATGTTTATTTTTTTTTTCGTACTTATTATTATTTTTATTTTAATTTGTGTAATAGTATTTTTTTTTTTAAATAAGATCTTGGATTATATGATTCTTTTTGTATCGGGATTATGATCTTAGACTCTGGGTTGTTAAATTTCATAGTAATGTATTTATTAACACAAATTAATTCTATACAGTATCGAATATTTAGTCGTTACGGTAATTAGTTTCGTATAAAATATTGCCTTGCGAATAATTTGATTAACCAATGATATTTTTGCAATATCACGGGATGATCTACAAAAATCAGCCAATTACAATGAAAGCCCGCTATGCTGGTTTGGCAAATTTTACAATCAATTGAGTATTGAAAGAGATCGCACAAGTAACAATATCATGCAACAACCGAATATTAACGAACTAAACGTAGTAACTAAACGTAGTGATAACTACATTTGATAAAATATTAAGGAATCACTCAAGTAACAATTGCAAATCTTATTTTGATTGATTATAGTAAATGTGCATCGTTACATTAATTATTTAATCGCATAGAGAATAACGTTTGTGCAAAATTTGACTACTTTATGATTTACTCATTCGATTCGTTAACAAAAATTTTACATAAATATAATTATAGTTGTGCACGATTATCACGAGCTAATCACCCTTAGTCTGTTGCTGAAATGCAGCAAAGAATAAATAGGTCCTTGCACTGCAGCCGTGGATCCTAAACATAAAAGGTCCTTGCACTGTCATTGCAGCCGTGGAGCCTTTTTTTTTTTTTTTTTTTTACATAGTTATCTATTATTGGAATGGGGGGATGGGAGGGTACCAGCCTTCTATCTCAAGGCGAGCGATAGCGAAAAAAGATAACTCTCTACATTAATTATGAACTTTTAAATATCTTAAAATTGCATAAGCCACCACTACCATCAACACCAAGCCCACCAGCTACGCCAACCCCAATACCTGCGCCTGCTCAAACAAACTGAACCTCAATTCAAACAATTTACCAACGCAATAAACTTTCATGTGACTGTGATAAAGTCATCTGATCTCAATAATGATCGCCCTGTCACTTCGTTGACAAGCTTCCAAGAGCGATGAAGTTTAAGTATATTCACGGGCTTTTTTTATTAATGAACTGTTTTATAGGGCACAATTACAAGAAATAGAAGGGTAGTCTCTATTTATTTGGGCTATAAGATCTATCGAGTTATGGACTACTACTATGCATGTCGTTACAAGAGAAAATTCTAACTCTATTTATATAGAATTTACAAGAAAGAGAGAAGGGGAAATTTCGAACGTTTCTTGATGCCTTTGCACCATCCTTTTCATTGAGCATAAACTGCATTTTTTCTTTTTTGACTAACACTTTTCTCTTTATTCTCACAGCCTTTGCTTTTCAATCACGCCATCGCTTCCAATGAAGGAAACGAAAGAATGAAGCTTCTGAAGAGTTACATTAACTAGAGATAAATGAGAAACTAATTATGATGATGTGTTCATTTGCAATTATTTACAATATATTTTTAATTTTGATTTAGGCCTTCATTATTATGTACTTTTTATTGGCACTCATTGTGATCGTGTAAGATAAATTTTTCAAAAATTTAATGTATCCTTTTTATAGAAGTTATTATTGATTATATGATAAAATATTTTCATAAATTTATATATTTTAATTTTGACTTTATATTAATCTAGGCCTTTATTATTATATTTCTTTTTATTGACGCTCATTACGATTGTGTACGATAAATGTTTCAAAAATTCAATATATCTTTTTATGATAAAATATTTTCATAAATTTATATATATTTAAATTTGATTTTATTAAATCTAGGCCTTCATTATTATAAGACTTTTTATTGGCACTCATTACGATTGTGTAAGATAAATGTTTCAAAAATTCGATATATCTTTTTATAGAAGTTATTATCGATTATATGATAAAATATTTTCACAAATTCATACATAAGTAGATTGATTCTCGAAAAAATATTTACGTCGACACTTAGGTTTGAAAGCGCAAATATGAATATCGATGAACAAGAACAGAAATTTCGTGGTATGAAACAATCATTTATTTAATTTTTTTTTCAAATTCATAAATCAAGAAGAAAATTATGTCTATTTTTTCGAACTTGCAGAGAATGTAGATTGTCAAGATCTTACAGAATCGGATGATAGCCTTATGAATCCGGCAATAGAAGAAGCTCAAAATGTTGAGAACTTTGAGTGTTCTTCAAATATTAATCAAGGTCACTCGCAAAATTTTGATCAATCGAATAATCATAATTACTCATTCCAACCAGGGTCAAATAAGACATGCAACACTAACAGCTATAGCAGTTCTCGTTATAAACAAAATACAAGGGAGATGAAAATTCATTTCAATTCCAACATAATTATGGCCGGGTAGTGAGCCATAACGTAAATACCCAGAAACAAAATTTATCCAATTATATTGATTCACCATTCGAAGCTGAAAATCAATATTACCAATATTCAAATAATGTAGATGATAAACTACATAACAATTTGTTTGCGAATAATGCAAGATATCAATCAGGTTTAATAGATTTAAATAGCACTAACAGTAATAGTGATTTTGTTCATGAACGTTACAAGAAAATGGCTCTAATTACCTTCCAAATCAATATAATTATAGTCAAGTAGTTAATTATAACACTTCATTTGACTCAAATCCTTCAGATTTGCAATTCAAATTATATCTCTTCCAATTGATTCATTCACCTTTTTCTTCTCCAACTTCTCCTCCAACTCCTTTTCCAAACATCTCTCCAACTACCTATTCAATTACCTCTTCAATTAATAAAAGTGACTCTCCACTTAGTAAAAATTTTAAAGAAGTTAAAAGACAACTAAGTGTACCTCGCAACAAATCCTCACCACTTAGTAAAAATTTTAAAGAAGTTAAAAGACAACTAAGCGCACTTAATGAAAATTACCCTCCACTTAGTCAAAATTTTAATGAAGATAAAAGACAACTAAGCGTAACATATATGACAAATGAGTCCTTTAGTGATTATCATGATTCTGACGGGATTACTATCTCTAATAATCAAAGGTTGATATCTATTCATGACACTACTCAAATGGTAAATGATTCGAATATGAATCTTGAATTCGATCCTAAGTACCATTTTCGTGATGCAATTGAGGGTCATAAATATTTTAAAGTAGATCAAAATGTAAACATTAGTTACGAGAGTGACCTTGCCGAATGCATTCCTGGCTTATATCGTTTACTTGATTTATGTAAAGATGACGGGTCAAATGGACTTGGTACTTAAGTAACTTACTAATATTATAAACTTTATTTGCATAATTCAAATTGTTTTAACTTGACCAATTTTATTATTATTATTATTATTATTTACAAGTCGATAAAATTATCATTTCCATTGATTCTCTCAAACAACTCTGTAATGATACGGTTCCATGCAGTTATACTTCAATTTCAGAAATTGATTATAATCAATTGAATACCTTTCCATTTCGACTTATTGGTTGTTATGGAAATCATACCTTAATTGCAAAATTCTTGTTAAATATGGGTATAATAAGTCAGCATCTGTAAGTTAAAATTTTCGCGTTATGAATGATAAATTTAAATATTTTAATTATTTATATTCTTTTATTTACATTTTCTTTATAGCTTTGATTTACTTACAGCATCAGGTTCACTCTGCAGCAACCAAATAACTGAAGATAAACCAACACTTAGACCATGAGATATAATTACTTATGAATATCTGTATTTTTTTTTTATTGAAAATATAGCTGAACAGATGATTTATGCAAAATATCCTAATATTCAACAGAAACTAGTCGAGGCTGTTCAAATTAATCTTAAGACTTGGAAAAACTTGAAAAGACAATACATGTTTTCAACATTAATCACAATCGAGGCATATGCTACGACAGATGAAACTAATAAAATGAATGCTCAGATTGGCAATCTCGCGCTTAATACATTTTATAATATGTTTATTGATAAAGAACATGATGCACACAGACTTGTTAAAAAGCATATTAAAAATGTATGGGAGCAAGGATGGTTTAGTTCATTATTTTCCATGTTCAATCATCAAAATTTAGCAATGAATTTCTTACTACCAAATGTAACAAGATGTAACAAGGTTACCGAAATTATAAATAAGCAACTGATCAAGAATTTATTCAGAATCTATCTACAACCCCCTTTTTCAATCATCATGAAGAGATAAGACTAAAAGTTATTGATATCTTTTTTGGTGAATATTCTAGATGGAAAAAAGACATTTTTCCTAACAATGTTAGAAATATTTTGCCTCGATATCTCGATAGAAAAGAGGAAATAAATAAAAAAAATAAATAATGAATTTAATTCAATGAAGCATGAATTAGAAAAGTGTGAATTTGAAAAGATATGCAAGAAAATCGAAGAAATATATTCAACAGGGTATGTTTGACTTATTTATAAAGTAATACAAATTAATAAGATTGTTATTTAATACTTCTATTATAAAAATAGACCTATATTAAAGATATTGAACATTAACAGTAATTATACGTTTATTAAATAATTTGCTTTTATAATTTAGTTAATGTATTATTAATAACTTTTTAATAAATGATAGAACATCAATTTATATTTAATTCTTTTAAAATTGAATATGAAATTGAAAAGAAATTTCAGGCAGAACAACTACAGATTAATATTTATGAAACTTGGCTAGAGCAATCTGATCTTTTTAACTTACAAGAGAATGATATGCATATACCTCAACCAATTTTATCAGCTAAGCTACATAGTTCTTCTAGAGTATCTTTCAGAATTGATTCAAGTGTATATGAATTGAGGTAAAAAAAATAAATTTCTAACATAATTTATTACAAAAATTTAAATTAACAAATAACTAAAAACGTTGTATTATATTTAACCATGAAAGAAAATTTCTCAATTTGAGAACAAAAAATATTTAATTATTTAGTGGAATAAAGCAGAAAACTTGACAGAAATCTTTTTTAGTATTGCACCACGCCTCAAACCTATTTTTAATTCAAGATAACCAAGGCATTTTAAGCGTTTAAATTAGGGTTGCTGGTGCAGTGTACTTGGCGACGCCAATGGTGCACCACCTGGCACGCCAATCTTGGTATGGTGCAGGGGGTGCCGGTCAAAATTCCGACAAGCACAATCCCGACAGGTCATAATCCCGACAAAAAAATCCCGACAGTCAAAAATCCCGACAATTAAAAATCTTGACAATCGGGTAGAAATCCCAAATACGGGATATGTTTAAAGTGAAGTAGACTCTTATAATTTAATTAACTTTAGGGTTAGGTCACTTTAGATGAGCGCTAGGCTTGGGTTAGCTATGGTTTATGATATTTTTTTTATCAAAATTTTTAATTTTCGGGATGTCGGGATTTTTGCTGTCGGGATTTTTTTGTCGGGATTATGACCTGTCGGGATTTCGTTTGTCGGGATTTTGACCCAAACCCAATGATACTTGGTAATCTATATATTCAAGTTCACAGATATATTTACTATTAAATGTTATTTTCAAGCAGTCTTATTTTTGAAAAATTAGTAGACAAGCATAAAATAATCTAAGTACTAGATCAGCAGTCCATATAACATACGTCGAACAAGTAGTAACTAATAGGGGTGCTTATATCTAACTTTTTTTATTCTCTTTCGATTGAGACATAAATGGGAAGTTTCAGGGTCGAATATTTTACTGCAGCTGTTGTTACGACCGGGGGAGAGACTTTGTATCGGCTGAGCCAATTTAGCTTGGGGTCGTAAGCATTAATATGAGAACCCGATTATTTATTAACACACACAAGGCACCAAAAAGTTCAAATATTCCCAGCGATACAAGTAAGTATCTTATGAATGTATCCTACAAAGTGCACCCAGTACACTATTTTACTTTTCAAATATTCTTTATTCCAACTCAAAGACAACCTCAAACTTATTCTCCAACCTTCCAAACTAAAAATCCTACTGCCTACTTATCACGGGGTTATTCAGTATCCGGTTTCTGATATCTAGCTCAAAGGTACACTTGTCTCTATACACTAGTGACGTCGCACTAACACTTTTACAGGCAAATTACACTTTATTTCTTTTTAATACCGTTTCTTGCTATCACGATTCCTGCCCCTTTTCTTTATTTATTGTCTTTATTTATATTTATCTTGACCTAATTACATCATTTATACATCTTTATATCTTAATAAACTTATACTATTCTCTCATTACATTGCCTCACCGTCATTGTTTCGTCGATCGACGATCACATGCTACATAATAATGCTGCCCAACACTATCGACCCCGTCATAATGCTGCCCAATCATTCCATCACGTGACGCCGACGAAGCATATTTCCAACCCTCCTTTCCCTTTCTAGACTAACTATACAACCCATTATCAATTAGTATCCCTCTTACCAAGTATAAGGGCTGTTCTAAAACTATGCGACACGAGCTGGACCCCTTAGATCCTCGTCCTCGAGATCTTTATCTTCAAAATCGTACAGTATTTCATCTAAATCAAGTTTTTCTTGACAATTGGTATTCCAGGTAAATAGCTTCTTCACTCTATTTCTTGTTATTGGATCTGTTATTTCACAGCCACCTAATTCATTCAAGTACACCTGCCCATACTTTCTAATTTTTCTAACCTGATATGGCCCCATCCATCGGTAATCCAATTTTCGGGATGTAGTATCTAATGTCGAATCATACACCAATACTAAATCATCTATTTGGTAAGATTCTCTTATTTTTGCTTTTCTATCATGTATTTTCTTCCAATGTTGTCTAATATCATCTTAGTCTAACTGTGCATTTTTTAAATCATCTACCATTCCTTTTATTTGCTTGGTACGGTACTCTAATAATTCATCTGTTGTTTATTCTTTTCTGGCAACATAAACTTGATAACTTTCTAATATCAATTGAATTGGTGTAACTACATCACGCCCATAGACTAAACGAAAAGGAGAATACCCTAAATCATTAACAGTAATATTGATAGCCCAAATGGTGCTTCTTACATATTCATGCCACTTGTTCTGTTTTTCAGCACATATTTTCCTAATAATCCTTGTGAATTTTTATACTGTACACTCCTGCCCAACCATTAGCTTCCAGATGATAACTCATTACAAATCGTTAGTCAATACTTAATCTAGTTGCTAATTCTGCTAATATCTTATTCTTAAATTTTGTTCCACTATCTGACACTAATACAGCGAAGCAGCCATGTCTCATAATAACATCATCCCAGTTAAATTGGGCTATTGTATTAGCATTTTTCCTTCTAAGTGCTTTTCCTTCTATGAAATCTGTTAATTTCTCAACTGTCAATATTACATGTTCATGATTCTGGGCAATGGTTCCAAATAATGGATGTATAATTTGTGAAAGATCCAACTGGTCATAGTCACATAAATTGGTTCTTTGATCTCTTTCATCACACACTACTGGCACATAATACATGATTTTATATACTTCATTGCATCTTTATACACATTACTACTTGTCTAATAATAATTCATCAACACTTTCCTTGCAGTATCATTAATTTTATGATGTCTTTCTTCTTCAGCCATCCCTTTATGATTTGCCGCTATTATTTTGAATTTTTCCTTGTTATCAAAAATTACTCTTTTCAGCGAAATGCCTCCTTTTGCTCTTTTATATAAATGTTCCTCGATAATACAATAAAATTTTAATTTTTGCCTTAATCATGGCAAATCTAATTTCCCGACATCACACCACCATCTTAACTCTTTCAGATATGTTTTTATCCACATTAAGTTCTTCTCCTTTTTATTAATCACATTGACACACAGAATCATTTTATCTACAAATGTTTCATTATCCATCTCCTCTATCATATGAATGCTGGGATACCTTGATAAACTGTCTGCATTTCTGTGTCTTTTCATGCTCTTGTAACATATTTAAAATTTAAACATTTGTAAGGCTAATATCCAACGCATCAATTTTCCTTTGGTTCTGCCTTGTTGAACAACCATTTAAAAGCTTGGTGATCCACCTATATGTCAAATACTTGTCTTCAACATATCGCTCATTCAATCTACACTAAAAACAACTGATAAGCAT